TCCCGCATCTCAGCGGCCTCCGGAGCGCTGTCCGCGGCCTTGCCGCCGAGCTGAGGCGCGGGGAAGGCCCGGGACCCTCCGGAGCGGGGTGGAAACGCTTTTTTTGGGGGGTTATTGTATGGGGGGTGGGCGTGCGTGCCCTGAAGTTGTCGGTGGGAGTTGTGTGACTTGTGTTTCACGTCCTAGGCTGAAGGAGATACCAAGGGCGATAAGGCCAAAGTTAAGGATGAGGTAAGAAGTTGGATGTTTTGAGAAAGTTGGATGTTAAAAGTGTTTACCTCGGGAGATGAGGTTTAACTTCGTCAAAGGAAAGAAGTCGGGAGTAGGAGGAGGGTTAGGCTTAATTGATTCTGACTTTTCAAAGCGTTAACTGTCTCTTAACCTTAACCATGAAAAGTCTTCTTAATTACTGTTAGTTTTTAGAAGTCATTTAAAGCGGATATAGTCTTTTGTTTCTTGAGAATTGGGAAAAAGGGAACTAAGAACTTAAACATCAGTTCTGGGATTTTACTACTTTGAAATGAGAGTTACTTTATGAGTTTTTGAGTTCATATTCCATCACATTAAATTCAATCATTTTTCTTTTTAAACAGCCACAACGGAGATCAGCGAGGTTATCTGCGGTGAGTATTCTCCTGTTGAGCAGAGACATCACAAAATTAATAGTTTTCGGCTTTAGTAGTATGTACTGTGTCTCTGTGAGAACTGTAGGTATTCTGGAGAGACGCTTTGTTCGGTTGAAAGAAAGTTGCTGGCTTAACGAACTGCCCCATTGTGTGGCGTTATGGGAGTGGTAGAATAATTGACAAATCAACTCAGTGCTTCCATTTCAAATGTTTTGATTTGTTTTCCTAAAACTAAACTATTTGGCTGAATGAAAAAGTGGTATGTTTCTCTTAAAATAATTTGAATTACACAAGGAGATTTTTCTTTTATTACAGAAACCTGCTCCTCCGAAGCCAGAGCCTAAACCTAAAAAGGCAGCTCCAAAGGTAGGTCGTCATGTCAGCACTATTACTGGGAGAGGTAGATGGGTTCTGAGGTTTGGATTTCTCCGGTAATAACTATTAAAACTGAAGAACAGCACATGTAGTGATGAAGTTGAGCTGTGTCATCACTCCTATGAAGTTGCACTGAAAACTTCTGAATTTTACAAAACTTGCATAAAAAAAATACCAAAGTGAAGACTCTTCACAGTTGTTGTCAATCTCCTAAAGATGCAAACATTTGTGTGTTGGGTTCTTTTCGGGCCAACATCCAATGCTGGTTTTTACCATTCTAATTCTTGGATTCTTGTGGCTTAGTGACTGGATGTGGGTAATTGTAATGGTGTACGTCATCTTGCGTTTATAGAAGAGCGAGAAGTTGCCCAAGGGAAAGAAGGGGAAAGCTGATGCTGGCAAGGAGGGAAACAACCCTGCTGAAAACGGAGATGCCAAAACAGACCAGGTACAACAGCAGCTCTGGTGCATTGTGTTGCATCAGTGAATTGTTTTTTCCATATCACGTACAAACAGGTCTAGGCTTGCACTAATGAAGAGGAATTATTGCTTGATTATTGAGACCTGTTGCTTATGACAGGAACAATGCATCTGCAGATGGTGGGGGGTGTGTTGTCTGGTTGGTAAAGAGCTAAAGTTGTCTGTCTGCCAGTTGAAATTGCCACGTGAAAGGTAGTTACTGTTCCACCTTGTTCTGAAGATGCGAGAAGTTAGCACGTAATAAAGCAACTTCAGGTTGCCTCTTACGGCACTTCAGATGCTAGATTTCATTTTGTTAAGAATTACGGTGGTGCAGCCCAGATAGAAGTTCTGAACAGAAGAAACCTATTTAGAAAAATGAGTTATTGGTGGCTTGATGCAAGTGCGTGGTGTGTATTGACTGGTTCCCCTTTTTTCTTTTAGGCACAGAAAGCCGAAGGTGCTGGTGAAGCCAAGTAAAATGTGTGAATTTTTGATAACTGTGTACTTCTGGTGACTGTACAGTTTGAAATACTATTTTTTATCAAGTTTTATAACAATGCAGAATTTTGTTTTACTTTTTTTTAAGCTATGTTGTTAGCACACAGACTGCTTCGTTGTTGTGTTTTGAGGGGGGGCAGTGGGGAGAAATGTCACTTAAGTCTATTTCTCAGAACCTAAATTTTAATAAGAAAAGTTTTTCCCCTCCCCCAGTTTTTGGAAGAAGGGCTCTTCCTCAGTAGAGGAGGAAGGGATTCCTTCATGCTGCACGTCCCCTAAGTTCTGTGAAGTGCATCCGAGTGAACATCCGAGCTCCCAGGATGCCCATTACCGACTTCAAAACCGCAGTTTGTAATGCCCTCTGTATTTCTTTTTCCCTCCTCATTGTTTGCCTAGAGCCCATCACTCCGAAAAAGGGCAAAAAAACGGCATTTTGGGACTTACCACTCTAAATGCATTGTCAGGTCTAATTTGGGATCTAATGGCTCTAAAAGGAGCCATGCTTCCTCTTTTATATTGTGGATCTTCAGATTAAGGAACCTGCATTTTAATTTTTTTTCTTCTAAAAGTCAGGGTAGGTTTGTGAAGAGTTGTTAAACAACATGCTAAATGTGAAAGTGTCCACCCTCACTCTAAACTTTTCCCTCTGCAAGTATGAAATGAAGATTCTTCAGTTTTATAGCAACTTTTACGTTTTGGTAGTCCATGAAGGGAGGGGAGTTTGACAGTTGTTGTAAAATGTTGCAGATTGTAGCCCATGTCCTGCCTAAATTACCATGATTGTTTATGAAAAGTACCTTTAATAAAGCTGGATACGGTTTGGCTTGGACTGTTCTTAATGCCTTTCTAATTTCTCTTGCCTTTATTTCACCTCTGATGTGGTTAATGTCAGAGGAGTACTTGCTCTGTACATGTTTGTGTTCAGGCAGTGTTTTGCTAATGGACAAGAATTTGTTTTAAGCATCTTAATTCAGATAATTAATTCAGTCTTAATTCACAAGCAAAAGCGAGGTTTCCTTGCCTAAAAGCTAATCGCTGCAGGATGTTTTGAAAGTCTTGACTTCTTAGGAAGCCCATCATGGAGCATATAAGTCTGTTTAACAAGATAAATTATCTTCATCATTGTCTAAAAAACAGTACTGTACAAAAAGGGGAAGAATACAGCAATCTCACAGTCACTGCAGAGAAAAATAAATTTTGGTAAGCTTGTCTTGGTAGTGGAACCAGCACTAGCTCCATAAAAGTGATTATGTGTTAGATTTCTGCACTTACGCTCGAATATTGTTGCTTCTGCTAATCAAATACAGACTTTGCTGTGGTAGTAACTAAGGAGGAAACAAGATTTGTTGAGTAAAAATGCCCCATTTTTATAGTCCCTACTTACACTGCAGAGCAGAGCCAAACCAAAAACCCTCCTGTGTGAATGTCTCTCCTTCAGTAGCATTCTCACACGGAATATTTTTTTCCATCCCTGCTTGGCCTTTCCTGAGGCTCGAGTGTCTGTTCTTGATTAAGCTCGGTGACCTGTTTCAACCTGTGCTCTTTGCAGAGGGAATCCAGTGAAAACGAACGGGGCAGAGTTTCACACTGAGAAGTTCTGTGTGTGTAGAGTGCTGGAAGTATTCTAGAGTGGCTGGACGTGTTTGAACTGTACCGATCCGAGCTGCTTTTCTGTCTTGCGTTATCATAGCTGGTGCGTCTTAAGGTTTGCCCTAGCAAGCGTAAGAAAAATAATGTTTAATAATCTTGCATATACCCCACCCAGAAGCAGCAGCTTGGAAACAGCCAACAAAAACAGGGACCGTTGAGCAACAAAGCAGCGGGATGCAGCTGCTGAGAGCTGCAGCTCCCCAGCAGCAGGATCAGGGAGAATTTAACTGTCTGGGGTGTTCTCCGGGAGATGCGGCTTGTGAGGAGCCCTGGGACATCCCTGTGTGGGGTTGAGATGATGGGGCAGCGCAGAAAGTCCGTCAAGGATTGCAAGAAGGGCTGTTAACGGTACGGTGATGTTCCTCTAGTCTGCTTGGCGTTGTCCTGCGGAAGAGACTCTTGCAGGGAGCAAGAGCAGTTCAAGCCCCTGAGCGAGAGGGCTGAGGGCAGGTTTGAACTCGGGATTTCCCAGTGAGTCTGAATTTCCAAGTTCCAGGGTAAGATGAAGTGCTTCGAGGCCGCGGAATGGTCTGAGACTTGATCACAACCTGGGGTGAGGCTGTAAGTGCTCTCTGGACGGTGAAATGGAGATTTCACCCAGTAATGTAATTAGCATTACATTAATGCTTTAATTAAATGTTTTAAAATAACGTAGAAAGAAATCTTGGAATACTCTACCTTGCTTTCATAGAGCCTTATCTTGTGCTTCTGCGATGAGAATGAGCCGTTGTAAAGGGGTTTTGAGCGGGTTGCCAACTGGAATGCTCGTGTTCTCCACGAACATCTTTGTGGTCGGAAGGTCTCTTCATCCACTAGTCGTAAAATAAAGTGCCGCTAATAAAGTGTAATTGCAGGGTTTCTTTTTGTTGAGGATCTTGCTGCTTAACTACCAAGAGTCTTTTCAATACCTGGAATCCAAACTGAGTGGTGCTGCGCTGTGCGTTAGAGGACAGGGAATTTTCTCCATCCCAGCAGGAAAATGATTTTTTATTTTATGTGCCAACTGCCAGGTAAGTTTCCCTGCTATCTTACTGCTCACCGGTGAACTTCCCAACGTCGTTACATCTCGATATACTGACGGGGCTGCCTTCATGTCTTTGCCACCCAATAACAGGCATAAATAGGCTTTGGAAAGTCGACGCTCTAATTTTTGCTACAAACCTCCTCTATTTTCCTTTATCTTGTTCTGAAATCTTTCTGTTCAGAATATCCCCTCTCCTCCATACATGTAAAAGTTTCTGGAGAAGCTTTAACCCCCCTGGGTAGTGGCTACGTGCGGGCTCTGCCTGTCCCTTCTCTACATTCGCTGCTGCAAGATCCGAAGCTCTCGCTGCGTCTCGGGTGTTTCCCGCTGGATGTGCCCCTGTGTGGGAGTTATTGGCCTGTTGGGCTTGACTTGACACGCAGGGCTCATCTATTTCTCCTCGAGCAAATAGAGGCTAAGGGATGCTAAAGACAGGAAAACCAACTCATTAGTTCTGTAAATTAAAAGCTAAAGAGCAGGCAGCCCTGTGCTGCAATCCGGGCACGGTTCGTGGTTAGAATAGCCACAAATCTGCATCTCCGGCTGCCAGAACGCCTTAAGCTAAAAAATACATTTTTCTGTTAAATCGTAATCATTTTACATGGAAAATTGTTCCTGTGTATCGTCTGGGAATGTGATTTATGCTGCCGGGTGCATTTAAAAAGCTGGCCTGTCAGGTGGTCTTTGCATTAGCCTGTGTTTTGTCCTGTTTGAGCTTAAAAAAATTGAGCTGAACAGTGTTTGATGGAAACTAACACAAAAAGTACCTGGTGATCTCCTGTGGAAGGGTACCAGTGCTATCCAGCAACGTGCAACTGTTTTCTCACCTGGAGAACATCCTATTTTAAATCAAGCTGAGGATTTGAGCTCTAAAAAAACCCCACAACCGTTCCCGTTTGCAGCTGATGGTTAGGAAAGCCCATGGATTGCACTGGCTTGAGGTAAAAAGACGAGGTGTGGAGCCCAGCCGTGCTGCCAGAGCTCGGCTGCATCGCCGGGCTTTGCTCAAGGACCCCCTCGAGGAATTGTCTCTGTCGTGGAAGAGATCATCCTCCGTTCTGTGTCCGCTGCTCTTCAATACTTCTCAAATGTTGACCTCTGGAGGACCAGCAATGACATTTCGGAGGGGTAAGTGAGCTGGGATCCTGGAGATGTCGGGACAGCTTCGTTTGAGACGGTTTCTGCGTGTCTGGAAAGCGGCGCTCGGCTGTTGGGCGGCACCTTGCTGTGTCCTGTACTTGGAATAAAACACGAAAGCTTTACATCTTCCTGCTAATTACCCCAGTTCTGAACATTCCCTGTCACCTTCCATGATAATTTTTCCTGTTCTGTCTGACGCCTTTCCCACCTTCGTTCTATCCGTCCTCTTACAGAAAAACAACTTGCACAAGAGAAGTCCAACGAGCTGGAAGCCTGGTGCAGTAAGTCGGGGGAATCTGTTGCTCGGAGTTGCAGCTGCTTGTGTGCAAAGGGAACAGCAGCATCCAGGATCCCCAAAGTCATCCCTGAGCAGGCGAGTGAGCAGGTTCCGTGTTCCTTAGCAGGCCTTGAAGAAGTGGTTGGGTACCAGCACGGTTTAAATCCACATGAAACTAGTGGCTATACCGCTAAACTGTTTCTCAGTTTATTAATTTTGGCACAAATTGGGAAATAGCCCCAAACTGCTGTTATCGTTTATTTGCCTCTTGACAGGTAAAATTGCAAAGAATGGCCGAGTTCTTAGCGGTGCAGAATCCTTTGGCAGGCTTCCAGGGGAGTCTGGGGATGATTCTTGTTTTCCTAATACTTCAGATTTTTTGCTGGGGTCTTAAGAACGTTTAGATTGCTGAGAGTGCTGATAGAGCGAAGTCTCTGGACTCCCCAAAGCAGTGTACTAAGCGATGATTAAAACCCAAGGAGAAGTTACTGTGAGCTAGTTGGACCGTAATCCTACACAACCGCCTTTACCCCTCTGTGTTTTTACTTTCAAGTGAAAGTGGATTGTTGAGCTTAAAAAAAGGCGTGAGGACAAGTGAACGAGACGTGTTGGGAAAATGAGAGGCTCCTGTCCCTGCTCCTGCCAATGCAGTGCCTTTGGATTAACAGTTTTGAGTTTCAGGATAATTTTCTCCAGCAGCAGTTTTCATCTTGCGTTCACAGAGCTCAATTATATTTGGAAAAAGTGACAGTACGGTCCTCGCATCAGCTGAGCCCTGCCATGGGCGGGTACGGAAAGGAACAAGGAAGGAAAAGGGACGAAATTTGAGCGAGAGCACACAGTGAGTATTGAGTTGCAGGATCATTTGTGTCAGGAGAGTCACCTCGCTTGATGGCACAGGGATTTCATTGTCCCTGAATCATCCCAGATATGGTCATACCAGACCCAGGGAATAATATCGCTGGCTATAATTTCTGAGAAATGGGTCCTCATCCTGCAGTTCGTCGAGATGAAATGGAGCTGTAGCTAAACTCACAGTTGACAGTGTGAGCCCATCCTCGTTCGCAAGGATGGGAAGGAGAAGTCACAGGGGGAGCTGATTCTGAGTAAAGTTTGATTGAGGCTAACGAGGAGGAGATACCGGCTAATAAAGAGCTTTAGTAAGTTGGCATTAGGAAGACTTCTGATGGGAAAGGCTGGGCTTTTTAAAAAAAAACTGTTTTGACAATCTTTTTTGGTTTTTAACCGACTCCTTGCAAAGGGAATTTTAGGATGTGGCAGAAAGAAACAGCAGCAGAAAACATCAGGGAAAACTTCCTAAATGTGAGATCTGTTAAAATGCATTAAAGCCTCCAAACCAGAACATTTCATAGTC